GTGTGTGTGTGTGTGTGTGTGTGTGTGTGTGTGTGTGTGCGTGTGTGTGTGTATCCACAGCAACTTGCTCGCAACTTTCAACTCGAGAACCACAAAAGCTAAGAAGTTGAAATTTAAGGGAATGTTCCCCACCCACGTGTGACCCCGCAAGTTTAAATTTAGCCTCCTCGTACGCGCTGGTAACACTCACGGGCCCGTAAAAGTTTCAACGGGGAAAATTGTTATCTCGGGAATCACGGAAGCTATAAAGCTGAAATTTCATGGGCATGTCCCCTGCCCACGTGCTATTCAGAAAATTTAAGCTCAGCCTTCTCGTACCCGCGGGTAACATATGTGGTCCCATGGAACTTTTGGCGGGCAAATTCTTATCTCGGAAGTCGCGGAATCTAGGAAGCTGAAATTTTGGGGAACTGTTCCCTTCCCACGTGCAGTCCCTCAGATTTAAATTTTGAGAAGTGAATATTGTTAGCAGCAATCTTTCGGTGAACGGAATTGCTCCCCTGGTGCACGCCGCTATTTATATTTTTTGATAATGTCTTTCCCAATTCTGATAAACACATCTTCAGAATTACAGGAGTTATTTCGTTGTTAAGTGCTTTATTTTAGGTTGATTGGCGGCGCACATTTATCACCACTGATATCAATCCGTATTATGACTCATTTGTTTGCTGGCAATTTCGGAAGCTTCGCGAAGCAGAAAAAGTGAACTTTGGTAAACGTTACACTATATATTCACCGAAAGATGGACAACCCTGTATGGATCATGATCGGTCCAGTGGCGAAGGCGTTGGGCCACAAGAATATGTGCTTATAAAAATGAAGGTACGTTTTTTTTTTGCTTTGCAGTCTCTGTGTGTGTGTGTGTTTTTACACTCACTTTGTGATTTTTATGGACATTTGCAGGTTCTCGATCCGTTGCCGGAACGATTAGCAAGTGCTGGGAAAAACGTTTTTCTTGTAGCTGCAACGCTTCGACCAGAAACAATGTACGGACTAACAAATTGCTTCGTTCATCCGGACATAGAGTATGTCATTTGTTTTTTTTTTTTTTTGAAGCGCAAGTATTATCTGGGCGAATCAAGCCATCTTGAACACTTCATTTCGAACATGAATGGATCTTTCTTGATTCCTATAGTTTTGAAAAATTCTCGCTTTTTCAAGCGGAAACAACGAATAATAAGCGATGATTTG